AATGGAAAATGGTTAAACTAATTAACTACTGATTAATCCCAATTAAACCTAAAAAATTCCACTAATCCCTAATTAAAGTCTAAACTAACAAAACTCTAATAAATCCCCTAATCTAATAATTCCACTAATTAAACTCTATTAAATTTTTATCAAACCTATATTATTTATTTAAAAGAGAATCTATGATTAATAAAACTATTAAAACTATATTTTTCTATTAAAATCTATTTACTAATAAAAGAAAAAAAATCTATTATTATTCTATATTATCCTAAAATCAAATCTATATTATCCTATTAAGAAAATGATAGAATTTATTTAAAATCTATAATATTCTAAAAAATGCTAAAAAAATGGTTTAAATCTATTTATATATTTTGAAAAATATCTATTTTATCCTAAAATGATTAAAAATCTATTTAAACCCTAAAAATAGCCAATAAAATCCAGAAAAATCACAATAATTCCCAGAGGGACAAAAATAGCACCGAACGACACATAACACCGCGAGAGCGCACCAAAATAGCCGGTAAAATTCAAAAGACACCGAAATATCCCAAACATACGATTCTACCTATCTGAACTGATAAAAGACACCTGAAACACGAGACGAGAGCTGTGATCCCGATAAAATCAATACAAATGAAAAATGCACTGTATGCAATATGCAGATGCGAATGCGGTCATGCGTCGAAACATCGAGCCAGATACGAGACCCGGTTGGTCAAATTTTGGGGTGCAACAAGGTGAACTCGATCAATGACAAGTAATCGTCCCAATTACCTATCTGCTCTAAAACACAAGCCATCAACAAGTCCTCTAAAGATTGGATAATGCTCTCTGCATGACTATCTGTCTGTAGGTGATAAGTCGGACTTAACTTCATCTTAGTACCCATGGATTCTACAAACTCTCTCAGAACCTCGACGTAAACCTCGGATCTCAATATGAAACGATACTAGAAAGAATACCATGCAAACTAACAATCTTCTTAATATACATCTATCCCAACTTCTGCAGCAAATAAGTGATTTTTATCAAAATAAAATGATATGATTTAGTCAACCTGTAACACCCCAAAGTGCTTTTAGGATTACCGACTAACCCCACAAACTAACACGAGTCTTTTCAGCATGCTTTTTCCTCACTCACATGCTTTCCGAGAAACTTCCCAGAAGGTCACCCATCCCTAAATTTCTCCAAGTCAAGCACGCTTAACTATGGAGTTCTTATGGAACGAGCTATCGAAAAAAAGATGTATCTTGTTGGTATAGGTAGTACCAATTAATCATTATAAGCCTTCATTCAACCATGCAGTCCCATACCTGCATAGCCTCAGGATCCCTCTTATATCAGTGTGAATTCGGTTTTCCCCCTAGAAGTTGATAGGAGTGTCTTATTGTCACGCTTCATGCACTAACAACCACTCCCTCGCCCTCGGGTGTTACATGTAACCACTCCGCGCCCTCTTCGACCTTGGGTGTTACATACCCACCAACTTCTGCTTGGTTCATCCCCGAACCACATCGTACTAGGAGAGGTCTGGCTCTGATACCATTTGTAACACCCCAAAGTGCTTTCAGGATTATCGACTGACCCCACAAACCAACACGAGTCTTTTCAGCATGCTTTTTCCTCACTCACATGCTTTCCGGGAACTTCCCAGAAGGTCACCCATCCCAGAATTTCTCCAAGTCAAGCACGCTTAATTGTGGAGTTCTTATGAACGGGCTACCGAAAAGATGCATCTTGTTTTCGACAACCCGTTCATAAGAACTCCACAGTTAAGCGTGCTTGACTTGGAGAAATTCTGGGATGGGTGACCTTCTGGGAAGTTCCCGGAAAGCATGTGAGTGAGGAAAAAGCATGCTGAAAAGACCCGTGTTGGTTTGTGGGGCCAGTCGGTAATCCTGAAAGCACTTTGGGGTGTTACAAATGATCTTCTTTTCGGTAGCCCGTTCGTAAGAACTCCACTATTAGGCGTGCTTGACTTGGAGAAATTATAGGATGGGTGACCTTCTGGGATGTTCCCAGAAAGCATGTGAGTGAGGAAAAAGCATGCGGAAAAGACTTGTGTTGGTTTGTGGGGTCAGTCGGTAATCCTGAAAGCTCTTTGGGGTGTTACAGAACCCACATTGAATCATTTCCCTTAGAAGGCTTAGGAAAACTCATCACAAAATCCATGGAAATGCAATATGAAGGTGAGAAAAGTACACAAGAAAAGGGAGGGCGTTGGATTGTGTACTTCCAAAAGTCTCTTTTCACTTGTGATTCTAAAACATCAGACTTTGAACCACATCCAAAGTCTGATATCAAAGTGAGTTATAACAGTGAAAAGTTTACTTCCTTTTCTTAACCCTGTTTCAAAATCTAAGATATTAAGCTCAAATTCTGATCCAAGTAAGATGCTGAATCAGATTTGAATATGACTTAAGATTTTGTTGCATAGTCAGATTTAATAGCAGAAGCAAATAAAGAGACACATAATATATCTTGGTTCCTCTCAACTGAGAGTAGTACAGTCCCCTTGCAGCACAAAAGCTTTTTATTGTATGAACAAATTACAATTCGGTCAATCAAACTAGAAAGAGACTTCTGCTCAAGCCCCCAAGCATGAGACTTTCGTGCCTAAATAATATGTTTTGGACTTCCAGCACAATCTGTCCATAATGAAACTTCCTTTCTTAGACCCCTGGTTCAAGACTTACTACTTAATCTAACCAGAATGAGACTTCCTGCTTAAACCCTTGGTTCAACACTTCCTACTCAATCTAACAAGAATGAGACTTCCTGCTTAAACCCTTGGTTTAAAACTTCCTGCTCAATCTAACCAGAATGAAACTTCCTACTTAAACCCTTGGTTCAAGACTTACTGATCAATCTAACTAGACTGATACTTCCTACTTAAACCCTTGGTTTAAGACTTCCTGCTCAATCTAACCAGAATGATACTTCATACTTAAACCCTTGGTTCAAGACTTCCTTCTTAATCTAACTAGACTATGAATTTTCGACGGCTCGCCACTGAAGATTTGATTAAGCACAAAGCAAAGACGAATGTGTTGAACTAGTATAAATCGTGAACCAATCTTCTACTTTCCTATCTCCTTTTAATTTCTAGTATAAAACTGCATGTGTAGGATGCTATCGTTTTACTTGAAAAGATGAGTTATTTGGATAAAAAAATTCCTAATTTGTAGTAAAGTATAAATTTTGTAAGTTAAATTCAATCTTTTAGTCATCGATTCAATCAATCTATTGAATCACTAGATTATTGACTGAACTAGTGGGTCATTGATTAGACCATGACTGTAAATTTGAATTTTATAAATTAAAAATAAAAATTATTTATGAAATAAAATTTTAATATAAATTTCATAACTATAAAATCTATAAAAAAAACTATGATATTATTCCTACAAAGAAGTTGAATAACAATCTTACATAAAATTCCTACAAAGAAGTTAAATAACAATCTTACAAAGTAGTAATAACAATTTTTTTAAATTTTTATTATGCCCCATCCAAAAACAAAATTGTTTTTCTGAGTTAAAAGATTAAACATACAAATATCAATCCAATAGTATTTGAGAAAGTCACTGGTTCATTAAGAACATCTTTAATGGTACAACTTATCTTTAGATTTTTTATGGGATTCATTAAGCCACATCATCTAATTCAAATCTAATTTTTATTCTAATGGTGCAACTAAAAAAAACTCATTTTAAACCCCACAATTTTAACTCATAAATAATTACTCATTAGTAAAAGAGATTATTTTACTATTATTTTAACTCAAAACAACGTTACATCCTAGCACAACTGTAGTGCCATGTGGAGAAAAAACTTTTTTATCTAATGATGACAAGTAGCTTTTGAATTGTCCATGCTGAAGCAATGGTTCAACAATCTGCCATTGGAGATACTCTAACTTGATTGATGAATCGACTGGATCACTTTTACTGAGTCAAAAAAAACTATAAATAATAGATATTTTGATATCTTCTATATTTTAATTTTTAACTAATTTGACGTCTTAAAGACATATATTAAATGATTTTTTTTTACACCATGATCCATTATTTAGAAGTACTAATTTTGTTCATACATTTTTTTAATTCATAATATATAATACAAATTATTTAAAATTTAAATTCCTTTTTCCCTTCAAAATATTCTTTAACAGATCACTAAAATTTTTCAAATAATATTAAAATAAAAACGAAGTAAAAAGAAACCCGAAAAAAATCTAACTGAAAGTGAGTTTTGGATCATTATAAACCTAACTGAAGAAAAGTGAGCTCAAGTCAATGTGTGTCTATGTGAATATTTCATTCTGTTGCTTCCTTCCTTATTCATTCGTTGATTAGTGAGTCGTTTACGTTACTATGTTCAAATTTTAGGTGATTCTAATAAGTATTAATTTTAACAGAAAGTAAGTATTAATTTTGTTTATTCATTTTTAATCTTAATAATATAATTTTAAAAAATTTTAAAATCTGTATTATTATTAAACAAAACCCTAAAACTAAGTAAGAATAACAAACTCAACTCCCTTTGACCAAACATTTAAAATAATATTTAAATTAAAAAGAAGTAAAAACAAAACCCTAAAAATACTAACTAAAAAAGTGGGTTTTGGGTCTTTTTAAATGAACAGAAGAGAAGTGAAGTCACTATGTTTTGAAAAATTAACGAATATTTTCTGTTTCCTTATTTGTTGATCACTTCTTTCACAAAAACATATGAGGTAGCTTCTCTCTCTTCCTTCCTTCTTGCTTTCATCTTAACAATGTCAGACATAATAACATACATGATATATCTATTATTTATCAATCATTGTTCACATAACGTTTTGAGACCTAATATTTTTCTAATATTCAAAGGGTTTTAATGTTAGAAAACAGAGTATCAATTTCTTAGGGATACTTAAATAATAATTTTTCCTTAATATGATTACTATTGTTTATGCCTACTTACAATATTATTTTTTTTGGCAGATGGTGCTCTTCAAAAAGAAATATAGTGATATGTTCATGGAACATGAAACTGATGATAAATTCGCTCCTAAGATAGGGTTTAATCACCAGACTGAAATTCCATTGAATCTTTCTGATTCAGAAGAAGACGTGTATGATACACCCGTCTCTTCTGCAATTTGCTTTCCCGTCACAGCCTCGTGGAGTGATGCTGATGCAGAATCTTTAGTACTTGCTTTGTTTCTCTTTGATAAGAATTTTACTCAAATAAATAAATTCTTAGAGAACAAAGGGATGGAGGAAATTATCTCATTTTATTATGGAAGGTTTTACAAAACCGATGGATATCGTAGATGGTCCGAGTGCAGAAACTTGAAAGGGAGGAAATGTATCATATCCAAGAAACTTTCTACCAAAATGAGGCAAAATGACCTACTGTCTCGTTTGATTCTTCATGTCTCTAAAGAATCCCGACATACTTTGTTACAGGTATTCAACTGTGCCACCTATTTTCATGCTTAGTCTGTTATTTTACGTTACATGTTTTCTGCATTTGATACACTATAATTATATATATCAATAGTTTCAATTCTCACTTTGTTTATATTAATACTCAGGTTTCTAAGTCTTATGTGGAAGGCAAAACTTGTCTTGAAGAATACATATCTTCTATCAGTTCTATTGTTGGACTTGGCGTTTTTGCACAAGCACTAGGTATTGGAAAGGAGAACGGTGTCCTTACTCGGTCTGATTTGGAAACTACGAAGAACAGTTGTGGAGAGGTTTCAGCACCAGCTTGCAAATCTTTGTCTTCTCTTGGACCGGATGATATAATACAATCTTTGATGGGAGGAATTCAGCTGAGCAAAACCAGAAGTAATGAACTATTCTGGGAAGCTATTTGGCCCCGCTTACTCGCAAGAGGTTGGCACTCTGAGCAAACAAAGAATCAAGATTATCTGTTTTTTCTTACTCCCGGTGTTAAGAAGTTTTCGAGGAGAAAACATGTGAAAGGGAAACATTACTTTGATTCTGTTAAGGATGTCTTGAGCAAAGTAGTAGCTGAACCAAATATAATTGTGCTTGAAGAAGAAGTTAAAGAAGGAGGATCAAATGAAGATGATTTCTCAGACGATGATGATCATCATAAATGTTACATTAAAGATCACACAAGTTTGGTGCATGGCAGAAAGCCATCTGATTTAAGGGAATTGAAATATGTTGGGAATAGAGTGCATACAGTTGAGGCAGATGTTGATGGTAAAATATATAAAGGGCACAAATATACTAAGAGAGTACACCATAGCAAGGATATGTATGAAAGAAAACTATTGAAGGTGAAAGAAAATAGATATCCGCCCTTGGAATTGGAAGATGCTACAATGACCATAAAGCATGAGTTGAATTGGAGAGTAGGATTAGGTGATTCTAATGAAGCAGCTGTTCCTACTAAAAGGAGGAGACTGACTGGTTGTGCCAAAGCAGAGAATAGCCGCTTCATTGAGAATTCATCAGGAGGTTTGAGATCAGATAAAGTAGGATTCTCTCAGTCCTCTAGCTTTCTAGATGCTAACCGAAATGTTTGCGATCCAGTTAGCCATCAGCAGAATGGAAGTTCAACAATCCTGAGGTTCCATCGAAGCAGTCACAATGACAGTTTTCAATGCATGAGTGTTTCTTGTGTTTTCAGCATACCTCAGGTTCCATTGAAGTCTCAAAATAGTAAAACGATGGGAACGACGGAGGAAGGTGAGCAAGGCCTAAGATCTGCTACTGAGGAAGTAATTGAGGAGCCTTTGGAACTAAGATCTGCTACTGAGGAAGAAATTGAGGAGCCTTTGGAACAATCAAGGAGGAGACAAAGCAGTAGAAACAGCAAATTGTCTGTTAAAGCAAATGAATTCTGGCATGCGCAAAAGAGGCAAAAGAAGAATGACATCATTTTTAATCCTTGCCGCAAGGCTCGGACAAGAGGCAAAACAAGGCCGCGTTGACACATTTTTGAGCATTGGAATGCATTTTTAGTACCAGAAGAAAAGAATTTGAATTCAGATGGCAGTATACTTGGTTAAGCCTCACTTACAAATTGTATTCTAAGTCTGCCAGTTGATAACACATACTATAAAGTTTTTTTATTTTTTAAATTTATTTAGAATTTTCAAATATTTTCTTCGGTTACGTTTTATTTTTCTTATAATTCAATGTTAGAAAGTTTTGTTTAATGATATCCTCATGAGTACTGGAATACAATATCACATGCCTACATGGTGAGTGCATTTGAATAGTGATTGCAAATTTTTATGGTAGGGAATGATTCGATATCTTATGGCTGCTGAGTGAAAAAATTGGTAGAATCATCATTCATAAGCTTACATGAAACCTATGGACATATTCCAATAACACCTCGGAATGATTTCATATTACTGTCACGATCTACAATGCTATATATATTCCTTACATCTATCTAGTAGTGTCATTATCTTTATTTATTTCTTACATTTTCATTTCAGTATAATTTCAATACCAATGAGAAGAATGGCGTCGTTGTTGGAATGAGTATATTGGACATGTTTGATTCTTTATTGGATCAAAGATAAAGATCCTATGGTAATAATAAATTGTTGGTGGAACTAAGAATGTGTTAAGATTGGATAATTGGATATTATAAGAAAATTTTAAATTTTAAATTTTAAATTTAAATATTTTTGGACTTACTTGTTTTTTCAAGACAATGAGCATCGAGATACTATATTCGTGATTTTAAATGAAATTAGAGAGAGAAACTTGGTACATTTATTTTCAAGCATATCTATTTATTTATTTATAATCTATTAAATTAGAAACTACAATCCTTACAATGTCATTAATTTAAATTCAAATAGAGTTGACAATTAATCAAATCAATTCGAAAATAGTTTGAAATTGAATTTAATAACTAAATTGTTGAACTATGTTTATGAACTAAATGAGTTAAATATGAGAAAAAAAACTATATTTGTTAACTGAATAAGCTGAACTTTAACTATACATAGCTCGATTCGTTAGGTTCATGAATCAACTCGATTATATATGTAAATGATTATATTATTTTTAAAAGTATGTTTAAAGATTTACTTCAATTTTTAACTATATATTGTCCTTTATGTACTAGTTAGGGTAATAAAGCCGACAATTGCATTTAGAGTCATTTTTGTGGGAGACATTATGACATTTGCTAAAATAACATGTGCAATGAAGGTTATAAGTGGTGTAATCATTCTTTGATGAAAATGTATCAATTTCTAGCAATTTTTTGTATACTATTTCATTAAATTTGTAAGTTTCCTAAATATTTGACGAAGTAATGAACTTTTGAGATAAATTTAAATTTAAATTAAGTGTTTTGAATTAGACTTTCAAATGTGTCTTTTGAAAGTTGCGTAATTTTTGAAATAGTAGATTTTTGAAACAAAGTTAAATTCCGTACTCATAACTTTTATTTTATTTCAAGATTTTCTTTTTTAAAAAATATTAATTTAAAATGTCAAATATATAAAAATAAAATAAACTTTAAAAAATGGCTTTTAAGTCCGTGAAACAAGTGAGTTGAACTTAACAAAATGAACCGAATAGTTCGCGAACTTTTAACGAGTCGAGTTTGAGCTTAAAAAAAGTTTGTGTTAAACTCAAACCGAGATTTTAGTTGAACTAATTCTTAACGAGTCGAGCCGAGTTAAGACAAGTTCGACTCGACTCGACTCGACTCATTTCCAATCCTAAACCTGGGTAAAGACTGTTAAATATGTAATTCATTGTTTTAGAAAGATTATATTTGATTTAGAAATATCATATTTGATTTAGAAAGATTAGATTAGATATTTTTGGGCTTATAGTTTGGACTTTTACTTGAGATACAAGTTAACCTAAATCTATAAATAAGGAGGAACTCTTATCATTGTAATAATCAAGTTTGATAATCACGGTTTTGCAGTTGCAAAGTGATAATAAATTCCACAATTGTGGGCAGAGAGTTACTATGCAGTTCCCTGTTATGGACTAGGCCAGAAGCTGCCCCACTGTCGGGCACAACCCAATCCATCTCTCCGTCGGGAAGAGCCCAATGAGGGCATAGCTCATCACATCACACGGAGATTACGCGTCTCCTCTACGATATCCACGTGCTCCTCACGCGGGGGCACAACATCAGACAACTACCCTCGTTCGAAAGAACATGTCATCCATCTTCCGAAGATCACGGGGCAGTTGAACCAAGATGAAGACCACATGTTGGTCTTCACTACGCCACATAGATTCTGACAGTTATTTGTATTGGGCTTGGTGATCCAACCCAATGCAAAATAACTGTTGGTCCAGCGCTGGGGGCACATTATAAATACTCTCTTTCACTAGAGGATCAGGTATTTTATTCTCTCACCTTCTTTTATATACTTGTCTTCTCTCTTGCTGAAACTGACTTTAGCATCAGAGTGCCTTGCAGGTACACCTTCTCCTCTTCTCTGCATTCGTTGAATTAAGGAGCTCAAGACGTGTTGCTGTAACACCCCAAAATTTTCCTTTTCGTTTTTAACCGTAACTGGCTTATCTTTCGTTCATTTGAATTATCATTGATCATACCATAGCATTGGTGCTTGAGACATTGGATAAAGTTGTTTCTATGGCTTAAGAATTTCCTTTATTCTAAGATTGTAAGCAGCAAGTATCAGAGACTTCAACATTTATTTTCATCTCCAAATCACCAGTGTTGGTTGGCCAAACCGCGGGGCTATCAATTTGAAGTCAAGTACAAGCCTGACAGATAATAGAGATGTTGATGCTCTATCCAGATGTCATGGTGAGGTAGAAATGAATTCTATCATTTCTTTTCCCTTGTGGGCTGATAGACAGAAACTTTTGGGTGAAATAACTAATGACCCGTACATTCAAAAGTTAATGAAAGAAGTGCATGAGTCTCTTGATGTTAGACCTGGGTTTCAGGTGAAATAAGGAGTTTTACTTTATCATGACAGGCTGGTGATTTCCCCTGAATCACCCTCTATTCCTTGGCTATTGGAAGAATTTCATAGTACTCCTGCTGGAGAGCACTCAGGTTTTCTAAGAACATACCGAAGACTGGCAGAGTCCTTATATTGGGTGGTGATTGTAACGCCCCGATTCTGAATTCCCATTAATTGTTGAGTCTTTTAATTTATTTAATTGATGTTTGTTTTAAATTGAGAAATTATATATTATTATGTGGTGTTTGCTTATTTTGTCTATTTTTACCGATTCGGAGAGTTTTCGGGGAATTAGAGTAAAAAGGGCATTTTAGACATTTAGCACTTTAGTGTGAGAATTGATTGGTAAGTGTTGGAAAGAATTTGAGAGGAAAGAAATAGAGATAGAAATAGAATAAGTGAGGAAAAGAAATAAAGATAGTAACATAAGAAGAAAAACAAGAGAAAGAAAAGAGGAGAAGAGAAAGAGAAGAGAAAGTGGAGAGGAAAACCTAGAATCATCAAGGGATCATCACCAAAGCTTGCAATCGATCGGTAAGGGTGTGAAACTCCATCATCTCTTTAATGTATATGATTGTATGTGTATGTGTGTGGATTTTGTAGAGTCTCTACTCTTTTTCCACTTAGGTTAGAAGTTGGTTTTGTGAGTAGAATGAGGTTTTAATCGGTTAGAACTCGGATTAGACGATGTAGTTTAGTCGGGTGATGATTGGGTTGTGCCACTGAGACTGGTTTGGATTTAATCGGTTGACTTTGTGGAGTTTGGGCTCTTGAGACAGCCATGGAAGTTCTGTCTTCGCAGGCTCGCCAGGCGAATGGCAGCGAAGCTTCGCCAGGCGAAGCCCAGCGAGCTGTAGCGAAGCAAGTCAGAAGCTAACACCCTGTATTCGCTGACAAGTTCGCCAGACGAGGTTAGTTGGCGAAGGTTCGCCAGGCGAGTGTGTAGCGAGCCTCAGCGAGTAATTCCAAAATTACTCCCAGTGGACTTCGCTGGGAAGTTCGCCAGGCGAAGGCTAGCGAGCATTCGCTGCGTGGCTTCGCCAGGCGAAGGTTGGCGAACATGGAAGTGTTATTTGTTTTGCTGTTTTGTTCATAGCATGATGTTTGGTTGATTCAATTATGATTAATGCCTATATATATGATTGAGGTGTGAACTGTTTCGACATATCGTGCTGTGGGTGGCCGAAAGGCATGAATCCTAGATTGTAGAGTCAAGGTGAATCTTGAACGTTTGATAATCTTGTGTATTTGCTCGAATTGAATAGAAACGCATTGATAGGCTGATATGTGTGTAAACCATGTGTGAAATGGTGCATAATGTGAATGCATGATAGATATATGCGATGTATGTGATAAATGCAATGAGGATGTTTGTGAGCATAGTATGCATTTTTGTGTTGAATGATCCCTCGGAGGATTTGCATTGTGAAGCATCTGAGTATGCATTTGTGTGTTGATTGATCCCTCGGAGGATTTGCAGAACCTCGTATGATACGATGGTTATATTAGATTCCTTGGAGAATCGGTTGCATTGTGTGATTCCTCGGAGAATCGGTCATAACATGTAATCCCGTGGAGGATTGGCTAGAGTATTTGATTCCGTGGAGAATCTGCTGAGTACTTGATCCCGTGGAGGATCTGCTGAATATTCGATTCCGTGGAGAATCTGATGAATATTTGATTCCGTGGAGAATCTGCTGAGTACTTGATCCCGTGGAGGATCTGCTGAATACTCGATTCCTTAGGGAATTTGTTGAACGAGTCGGTACCGCATTTGCATCTGCATAGAGTCGTGTGTCGGTCTCTATGAGTTGCATGAGTCATTTGTGTATGATGCATTGGTTGAATGAATATAACTGTGTGTGTTATATATGATTGTTTGGAGGAACATATAGTGAATGTTTATGAGCATGTGTAGAGGCATGATTAATTGTATAGGCTTGATGTGGTGAGAACATGTTTGAGTATGACTTGTATAATTATGAATATATGTATATATA